TTCTGCCCCTCCCCTCCCGTCCCCTTCCCTCCCTTTTCTTCTCTTCTCCTCCACTACTGTGGTTTCCTGCTGGGTGGGGGCCTCTGACCACAGTTGCCCGCCCAGGAGGGAGGCTATGTCCGCCCATCTGTCAACACAACCCCTACAATAGAGTGCCTGGGTGCCCCGGAAGAAGGGCAGGCAGGAAGGGGAGGGCCAGTGACTCTGGGGCTAGCTCCTGCACCCCTGCTGCCCACAGCCTGGCCCAAGACACCAGGGCACTTGCTGATATGGAGGCCTCCTTGGTGGGAGTGGCTTTGTTCTTTCTGTGGCCAGGCCAGGGCCAGGGTGTGGCAGGTAAGGCAGCGTGCCTGAGGAGGGGCGGCCTCCCTGCCACGAGGTGTGCAAGCAGGGGTGGGGGGTGCCCCTAGAAGTCCTGCCTGGGGACTAATCCTGGAAGGAATTTGGGAGAAAGGGTTTCATCTGTTACCATTAGTAAAAGTCTATAGAGTACCATTTCTGTGGTAGCTTTACTGTTTGTTTTGTTTTGTTTTACTGAGACACAGTCTTGCTATATAATTCAGGTTGGCCTTGAACTTGCTATGTAACCCAGGCTGGCATTGAACTCATCGTGATAGTCCTGTCTCAGCCTCCGGAGTGCTGGGATTACAGACATGTGCCACCATGCCTGGCTTGACAGCTACACTTTTGAAAAGGTAATTTGGTTTTCAGTGTCTTCAAGGCACTGATGGGAATCCTAAAAAGAGCATTGTGAGACCTTGTGTGGGAGGGCTGGGTCTCACTCATACTACCTGGGGCTCCTTTGTTACCAAGTGATGTTAACAATGGATACGGACAGTTTGGCAAACCCAGACCATGTGTATCACACCAAGTGGATCTGTAGGAGCTAAGGTGAATCTTAACATGATGTCAGTGTGCTATGTGAAACCACAGTTGTGTTGAACCTGGGATGGTCTGCAGTGCTGGGGCCCTGCTAAGTGCTGGCACCTGCTGGGTGGGCTCTCCAATCTCTGCTCCTCTTCCATATCTATTTATGCTGGGTGCTAGGTATGAGGGGACTTGGGGGCACATAGAGCTGTGGGTACGGTGAGCCCTCAGTCTTCTAGAAGCCAGTAGTACAGGGCTCTGTACTGGCCAGTGGTTCCCACCCGCATTGCTTTTAGGAGGGTGGATCAGGCTGGTTACCAGCTGGGGAACTCTGTCACTAGAGAGCATTGCTGTGGCCCCTTCTTCCTTCTCTTTGCCTATGAAGAGGGGCAGTGGGACCCTGTCATCTCTCCCAGGATCCCAGGTAGCTCCTCTGTAGCTCTTGTTCTTTGGAACCCTCATATGGCTTCAGGTGGAGGCCCTGGGCCCAGCCCAGGTGTGGCTCAGGCAGAGGTCCAGGTGCAAAAGTAGGGTCCGCAGTGCGTGAGGCCCAGGGACTGTGCCGGGCTGGCCCATTCAGCTTTGTCTGCAGCGGAGATAAGCTGTCACTGCTGTGTCTTGCACATTCCTGGAACAGTCTGTCTCTAACTGCACTGAAAGGCAGCCCTGGGCAGCCTCCAGGAAATAGCCTGGACACAGCACAGCCTCTGGACTGAATATGGAGAGCTTTCAGAGTCAGGCACCCTGCACTGTGGCTGCACTGTGTCTTCTAAAAGTGGCCAGAACCCCAGGTCAGGTGATCTAGGACACAAGTCTGACCACAGTCCTCTTCCCTGGACCCCAGAGCAGGGCCAGGGAGCTGGTGTGTTGCAGGAACCACCATCTTTATCCTTGTGGAACCGCTCCTGAGCCCTGGCAAGTGGGAGAAGCAGGTTGACAGAAGCTACTGCCTGCTATTCATCTGCCCATCTTCTCTGGATACCCTGAGGGCTGCCCACTTGCTGTAGAGGTAGCACTGGCCCATGGAAACCAGACAGGGGCTTTAAAACAGCAGGAGCTTTCCCCATGGAGCTGGCCCAGGGGACAGATCCCCTACTCCTATCTGCCCACAGACCCTGTCCAGAGGGTCGGTACAACTCTGCAAGTGGCCTGTCCTATTTCTGCCTTTCTGTTCAAGATGTCACGCTGGGTGTGTATTGGTATTCCTTCACCTACTAGTTAATGGATTAATTAAAAATAGTTTTGTCACAGAATCCAGCTGAAACAGATCGTGGGGCCAAAGCTGGAAAATTTTTGAGCAACAACAACAACAAAAAAATAGTATAGTATTAGGTGACAATCTCCCACGTTAAAAACCCCTGTGAATCCATACAAATATAAATAACTGGTTGAATATTCAAACTAAGGAGGAAGGAAAGGCAAACTTGACATGCAGAAGGATTCCCAATAAGTGATGTCAATACCCCATTCTCAAGTTGGTGGGGTATAACTCTCCATGCTTTATGCATGGTTGTGCATAGTAAATTCCTTTTGGAAAAAGGGACATAGTCACTGTACAGGGTCACATACACACGCCCCCATCTAGAAGATCAAGGCAGTGTCACAGTGAGGAGTTGTGACAGTGGGTACCCATGGTGAGAGGTGATGAGAAGCCTCAGCCTAATCCTGAGAAGAACAAGACAAGTACCAGCTCAGGGACTCCCAGCGTACACCCTCAAAATTATCCAGGCTGTCAAATCAAAGAGGGTGAGAAACTGTCATTTTATCATGATGAGCTGTTAAGTTGCGACAATTTCCCTGCACCAACATAAGATTTGTCGTAATGCTGTGAAACATTATGTGTGTTTGGTTTCCTGGTCCACAGCTCTAAAACCCTTTGGAAATATGCAGAGGCGCAAGAGTATCTTCCGTGTGCAAATGACTGACTGGTGGCTGGGGACCTAGATGGCTTTAGAATGAGGCTGGTGACAGGAAAGACCCAGGCAGGATCGGAGGTTGGGATTCTCACCTCCATCCCTCAAACTCCAGGCAGGGAAAGCAGCTGGAGTTGCTGATCCAGCTATGCCCACTGATCACCTATGCCCACACCTCTGTCATGAATTCTCCAAAGGACAAGGTTCATGGAGCTTCCAGACTTCTGGACCCAGGGAGGTGCCTGGAGTGTAGTGTGTCTGGAGAGGGCATGGAGGCTCTGAACCCCTTCCCAGGTGCCTCACCCTGGGTGTCTCTTCTTCTGGTCCTTTGTAGCATCCTCTGTAATAAAATGTGGCCCTGAGCTCTGTGCCCCACCCCTAGAAACTTAATTGAACCCAAGGTAGGAGCCCCAGTGTATAGTTTGGAGGTTAGAAGTGCAGGTAACAACCTGGTGACCTGGGGCTGAGACTGGCACCTGGAGAAGGGCAGTCTTTTTTTTTGTTGTTTTTTGGTCTTTTTGAGACAGGGTCTCACCATGTAGTTTAAGCTGGCCTTGAGCTCACTTTGTAGCCCAGGCTGGCCTTGAACTCAAAATGATCCTCCTGCTTCAGCCTCCCAAATGCTGGGATTACAGGCATGCACCACCATGCCTGGCTTTGTGGCTTTTTTTTTTTTTTTTTTTTGTGACAGTGTCTCACTATGTAGTCCAGGCTGGCCTCAAACTTGCACCAATCCTCCTGCCTCAGCCTCCTGAGTGCTGGGATTACAGGCGTGTGCCACCACATGTGGCAAAGGACAGTCTTGGGGACTGAAAACCTCATGAATCTGATATCATCTCCAGGTAAACAGTGTTAATGGGCTGAGTTAGCGGACCCCTGGGGGCATCCACTGCAGAACTGGTTTCTGGCTCAGTGTGAAGGCTAGTTCCCAACATTAGGTCATAACTGCATCCAGTGTTCTGAGTTTAGTGGGGGAAGCAGCTTACTTTTTCTATCCACCCTCACAGTTGGTAATAGGGGAAACTGGTGTGGGGTCCGTGGGAACTCTACTCCCTTTGTAAGTTTTCTATAATCATACAATGGTTCAATAAAGTAGATTTTACTTTGAATCTGATTTTGTCTCACAGTCAGTTTTTGGAGCTGGCTCTGCCCATTTGCTTGTTGATCCCTGAGCTCCTGAGCCCACACTTGCTACCACTTTCTCCCCTAACTCCTCCTTTATCAGGATGTCTGTTCATGCTGTAATGCCACCTGCTACCTGTCCATGATGTGTCCGTCCATCCATCCATCCATCTCCCATGCACGCATCCATCCACCTACTTGTGGCTCCTACTTTTCATGCAGTTGTTTATTTGTCCAATTCTTCACTTATTAACTTGCTCCTGCCTGGCTGTCTCCACCGGCTGCCTCAGTTTACCTGGGCTGTTGCCTGTGGGAACCCTGAGGGGTTGGAAGGACTTTGGCCTATAAGGGCTCCTCTAGCTGGAGGGCTACTGTTCTTGGAATAGGAGGTGATGGCCTCTGTCCTCCTAAAGGCTATGCAGAGGGAGACCTGACCAAGGGGCTCCTCACTCAGATAAGCAGCTGGACCGTGAGGCCTGGCACCTGGGGGAACTCAGAGCCTGGCCTGCTCCTCTGGGCACTTATTAGCTAATTCTCTTCCTGTCCCTGTCACCCACCTAGAGAATGGGGCCCAGAGCCTGTAACACCTGTCAGGGACCTGCAGGGACCCACATTCATTGTGAGACTTTACTCTGCCTTTGCCCTAATTCTCAAATTGTCCTCCACTGCTGAGACACACCCTGGAAGCTCCCTGGACAACAAACCTGGACCCCAAACCTGGACAGCCACTTTGAAAGCCCATCCCGACTTGCTGAGTACCTGAACTGGTCCTCAGCTGGGCTCTGGGTGCCAGGTGCTAGGTGTTGGGTATGGCTTGTTGGGTCCCTCCTGCCCTGGGCTGTGAACTGCTCCCCCAAATGAACACTGAGAGGTCACACTGTTCCTGCCCTGTTTTCCCGGGAACCAGGCCTTACAAGCACATGGTTGCCCTCC